ATGGTGCTCCGTGACTCGGTGATTTCGCGTGGCAGCGTGTTCTCCGATGGTTAAGTGGCTAACCCACCGTCCATACTGTCGTGTTATGTCTTGGTGTCGGGGCTGGGCTGTCGTCTGTGTTATCGTTAGCTACCCTAGTGTCGCGCACCGTGGATCGGTGAGCTCATGTTCTACCTAGGCATCGTGCTCCAAAGATTGATGATTTCTGATTTCCCGTATCTGGCCTCCTGCGGGCTCAGGTTTGGTCGGCTGACTGTGCTCCATGTTTACCCGTGGTGTTGTTGGAGTATTGTTTCTGTGCACTCTCGTGTTCTACCGTGGCTTCAAACGTCCGTGCTCTTCCGTAGCCCGTGCTTTTCAGCATGCTGGGGTGTCTATGTATTTAGTTCCCTTCCGTGGCCCGTACGTTCCTGTCATGTTCTGTCCATATGTTCTTTTCATGGCTGCGTGCTCTTTCATCTTTCACGCTACTTATAAAACTTCGTGGTTTGCATCGGCTAAGTCTTCTATCATCGTCCATGGCCTTCCGTGCTTCGTGTTGCTCCTCTATCCCATCGTATACATAGTGTGGGTCGGTGCTCCTACGTGCTTCGTGCTCTTGCTTAGTCAGGTGCCTCCGCACTAACTTAATCACAAACGCTGCTCCCATTTTTATGTACGCAACATATATTGTCGGAAAGCTCACATAATATCTGAAGGTCGCACACTACGCGCGCAAATACAAAGGAAGATGATACTTTTTCCCGGGGGCAGTGTGAGGTGCAGGGGTGTAAGCCACGATAGTCATATTTTAAAGTTTTCACATTATTAAAAATAGTAATACAATTGTTATTTATTATTAAACGCTGATATAATTATTCTGTGTACTACTACTACAAATGACTGCAAGCAAAAATATGAAATGCCTTGATAACAGTACTAAGAAAAATAATATTGTAAGTTAAATTAGTACAGCAGTACTACGAAGCCTAAATCATCATTCTAAACTCAATAAGTACTAAAGTTTCGATTGAGGCCGAAATATAAGTCACCAGGGCCTATAAGTTTTTTCTTCAGCTTCTACGACGATATAGTACGTGTTTGCTCATCGGCGCCTTTTAATTTTGCTAATTAACGCGTACACAGGCAGCGCCGTTTGCGTGAGGTGGCGAACCGCAGCTGAAAATGAGAGCAAAATAAAATTTAAATGGTGCAGCTAAGTACGATGTGTAGTCCACATACAGTAAGTACAGCACATAATATCTTGTTTTAGCCAATGGGGGCCGCCTTCGCTGCGCTCGGCAGCTTTTTAGCGAATCGACGCCGCCTTCGCTGCGCTCGGCAGCCAGTAGAACGCGCGTATTTGCGTTACATTTTAGAACCCTACCCTCGGACGGACTGACAGACGGACGGACAACACACTCCACTAGAGAGGTAAGACTAGCCGCTCGCCGCCGCTACGCGGTGGAGTGGCATGGTTTGTTGGAGCTGTGGTTTTCAGTTTTAAGTGCTTCGTGGTGTCGCGTGTTTTGTGAGCGTCGTTCACCCCAGTAGATCTTGGCTTCGTGTACTTAATCGCTTACCAGTCCGTTGTCTCATCTGAACCCGTATAATATCCTTGTTTGGTACGCTTCCGTTACCCCGTACTACATGTTGGATGTCATGTTCTACAGTGGCCGGCGCTTTTTCGTGATCTTCCTGGCTTCGTGGTTCTCTGCTCACCCGTGGTCTACGCTGCTTAGTGATTGTCCTGTGTTTGTGGACTCCTTCTCTCATAGTGCTTAGTGGTTGTGTGCTAGCCGTTTTGGTCTCATGCGCTCCCGTAGTACGACCCTCTTTCGTGGCTGCTAGATATTCCGTGTTCTCAAGGGTTTACGTGGATTCCACAGGCTTCGTGTCCATAATCATTCGTGGTCGATAGCGTTCCATTTCTGGTACCCTCGCCAATGGGTGATCTTCCGAAGTTTCTGTCACCTGTGTGCCGCGCACCCCAGGAGTGGCTCCATCTACCGCGTTATCGCGCTATCGTGCAATCGCAATGTGGTTATGCTGTCTATGCTATCGTGATCGCATAGCATAGATGTTTCGCCAATGTTATCGCTTTCTACGATGGTTCCGTGATCCGCGGTGTGCAATCGTGGTCTCTAACAGCGTTTCCCCGCGATTTTGTGGCTGGCCGGCCGTCCGGGTAAACGTGTTTTATTGAAGTGTCGTCCTCAGTGGCAAGGCGATCTAAGGTTCCACAGTGCTATCGTGCTGAGTGGCTCGGTGATTTCCTGTGGCTGCTTGTTCTCCCATGTTTTAGTGGCTGTCCCATCGTCCATGCTATCGTGATATCTCTTGATGTCGCGGTTGGTCTGCCGCCTAAGCTTTCGCTATCTACAGTAGTATCGCGCTCCCCAGTGAGCTCCGGTTCTACCCTGGTATCGTGTTTCAATACTCGACAACCTCCCGTTAATGGTCTTCCGCGTCTTCATGTTTGGTCGGTCGACTGTGCTCCGTGTTCAACCGTGGTGCTATGGGAGAATTTCTGTCCGTGCACTCTTGCCGTTACGTGTTCTACCGTGGCTTCGAGCGTGCGTGCTCTTCCGTAGCCCGTGCTTTTCAGCATGCTGGGGTGTCTATGTATTTAGTTCCCTTCCGTGGCCCGTACGTTCCTGACATGTTCTGTCCATCTGTTCTTTTCATGGCTGCGTGCTCTTTCATCTTTCACGCTACTTATAAAACTTCGTGGTTTGCATCGGCTAAGTCTTCTATCATCGTCCATGGCCTTCCGTGCTTCGTGTTGCTCCTCTATCCCATCGTATACATAGTGTGGGTCGGTGCTCCTACGTGCTTCGTGCTCTTGCTTAGTCAGGTGCCTCCGCGCTAACTTAATCACAAACGCTGTTCCCATTTTTATGTACGCAACATATATTGTCGGAAAGCTCACATAATATCTTAAGGTTACACACTACGCACGCAAATACAAAAAGAAAGGTGATATTTCTCCCGGAGGCAGTGCAGGGGTGTAAGCCACAATAGTCATATTTAAAGCTTTCGCAATATTACTAATAGTAATACAATTGTGCTTTATTTTCTAACGCTGAAAAAAATTATGTGTGTTACTACTACTACAAATAATTGCAATCAAAAATATGAGAGCTATTTAGAATAGTACTAAGCAGAATATTAATGTAAGTTAAATAAGTACAACAGTACTACGAGCCTAAAACATGATTCTATTTCCAATAAGTACTAAAGTTTCGATTGAGGCCGAGATATGCATCACCAAAGCCTTCAATTTTATTCAACAGCTCCTACGACAATATAGTACGTGTGTGCTTATCCGCGCCTTTTAATTATAGTAACTAACGCGCACACAGGCAGCGCCCTTTGCGTGGCCTTGCAGACCGCAGCTGAAAATGAGAGCAAAATGAAATTTAAGCGGTGCTTTTAAGTACGATGTGTAGTCCACATACAGTGTGTACAAAACACAATACCGATTTAGCCAAATGGGGGCTGCCTTCGCTGCGCACGGCAGCTTTTTAGCGAATCGAGGCCGCCTTCGCTACGCTCGGCAGCCAGTAGAACGCGCGAAATTGCGTTACATTTAATAACCCTAGCCCGTTACGGACGGACTGACAGACAGACACCAGACTCCACTAGGGGGGTAAGATAGCTTACTGATTAACCTGGAGTTAGGGGGGGGTTACGGCGCACTATACTGTAACAATGTAGTTTCTGGAACAATCCGAGGGTTACGGCTAATCGAGGCCTCCTTGGGCCCCCTGTGACTCCACTGGAGCTAAGTATTGGAGCATCTTAAAATATCCACATGGATATCTGTTTTTGGGTAATTCGGATTATTGTAAAAAAGTTTTATCTAAAAAAGAAACGGCGGTGTAATTCACGCTTCGAAAAAGACGCGAAGAAGGATAACCAGTAAACGTACTATTGGCGCAAGAAGGCAGAAATTTCGTGGTTTGGCCTGTACGGCAATACATCCAAGCGTCCCCGAATTATCACCGAAGTAGATAATATCCGAAAATTAAATAAATGAGCCAAATTTGATCAAATCGTCTATGTAGCACAAAAGTTTCTAGATGCTGTTGAATTACATGGCTCGGGCATGCACAGGATTCTTGGCTTTCCTGGACCAACGTTATGTGTCCTAAGCTTTCGTCTTTTTCATGGCTTTTTTGTGTTTGAATCATAAGTTTTGACCCAAGCCGCCTACGATTGTGAGTTTCGGTAGAACGACAGTCATTTTAAAGCCGTTCGCTAATAAAAAGTACAACGTAAATTATAAAACATGGAGATTCCGTGGCGACGTTAATACTCCACTTATTTTAAATATTGTCTCAAAAGTAATAATGATAAATTATTTAAAAAGTGTTGCAAATATCCGAAAATAGCGAATTGGACCCGAAAATAACCTTATTGGTTTGAAATGCACAATTTGGCTCTGTAGGGAGCTACTGATTTATAGAAATTCCCCCAAATTCAGTCAATTTGCTGTCGGTCCCGGGAATCTATGTGCTGGTTTCCTACGTGGCTGTCAGCTATCCTCAAACTATCTGTAAATTATTATTTTGTGTGACTGTCTTATCCGCAATTTGCGGTCCGCGGTGATGATGCCCTTAGGACGTAAGAACGAAGTTGGTAGACCTGGGTCTAAAGCGGATGGCTAGCATGGGTCTCGGAGTTTAATAATTATAATCTCGTCAGAGCATGAGAAACAAATGATGATGACAAAACTTTGGTAGTTTCAGATTACTTTGCTCACTCGATTTTGTACTTCCCAGCCCTGACCAGCTACTAATATACAGTTTTACAACATATCTGAAGCAAATATCACAGTTATTACAGAGTTGCTCGTTAAAGCGCATGCTTGCGAAGGTGCCGAGGACACGCGAGACATCTTCATTCTACAATTTGCTGATAGCAACCAGCAACCTGTAACACTTAGGTTGCCTTCCCAGTTACTTTTCCACTTTCAACCAATACTTCAGCACTCAAACCTCCAGCAACAAATCACTATGGCGTTCAACAAGTTTGCGTTCGGGGCCATCGCCATGATCATCATCGCCACGGCTTACAACATCGCCGCTTTCGTCCTTCCCATGTGGAGCTCGAATAAAACTGTGAACTCGGCACTTGCCTCGGAAGTATCGAGCACGAGATTCAACGCTGGTCTCCTGGGTTTCTGCGTCGACAGCGAGATGACCAATGGCACGTCGTTCGACCACTGCTTCTACTACAAGTTCGGGTCCTCGTTCGACGATTTGTCGGTGCTGAACGCCGACGTGTGGTCCAAATACTCGTCCGATGGGATCTTCAAGGGCTACAGTAACGCGGGTGACGTGAGTGACGAGGAGCAGACGGCGTACGTTTCGGTCCTGGCCAAGGCTGCCGGTATGGACGCTGATCAATTTCACAAGTTCCTGGACAAGTCGTGTGGTCTCCTGGGCACGGCCACAATGACATTCGGCGGCATGAGTCTGTCGAACGGTGTGATGGCAATCGTCGCGATGGTGGGCGCCATCACTTGCAGCAAGGGCAACAAGAAGTGGGTCGGTGGAGGATTCTTCCTAGCGAGCGTGGTCTGTTTCACGGCCATGCTGGCTTTTGTGCTGTGGGTGGTTCAGTCGAAACCTCTGGGTAAGGAGGATGACGCATCGTTCACGGCGTCTTTTTTCCTGATCATCATCGCGATGCTGCACTACCCTGTGGCAATGTTCATGTTCTGGAAGCACCTGAATATGCAGCAGGAGGCGCAGAAGGAGTTTGACGAGGATCACACGACGTACAGAGCAGCCGTCACCCCCAAACATAGCGAAGCTGCACCTGTTAGCCTCGTCTAGACCAATGAGTTCGAACAGCCATTGCCTGCTTCACTGTGGATTATTTTTGCTGAAAATATACCCACTCAAAAAGTAATGCAATTTTCCTTCTACACTCTCTTAATTTAAAGCCATTCCGGTTAGCGTGGAAGCTTCTCCCAACTCGGTCTCGATTCTGGTTCTTGCAGCGCCACTCCAATGAGGCACTATGTTGCGCATATCCGACGTGCTCTTCCATTGAAACCGACGTCACTTGTTCTTTGACTGCCGCCGGGTTGCAGCTCTTTGGCATCTCATTCGTGCGGATTGGAACAGGCTCATTGTCCACATTTCGTGGGACATCATATGTGTAGCAAGCGACCCCGAGTGGACGACTCGTGTACGGAACAAGGCACAGGAGTTTACCGCGTTGTGGACGCTAATGCGTAGCATCACACTGCATACAATTTGGACGACTCGTAACAAACATATTTTCAAAGCCGGACCTCCGCTGCAAGCGACAACGGCGGTGTATCGAGCTTACTCCATTTTTAGTGCACATTTTCGGGCACTGCACCGAGACTCCGGGCCTACAGGACGTTCACGGCTGAATGAATGCCTCCAACAATTTCCCCAACGCTCACGCTTGGGACGGTTTATTGTGTCTAACCCGTCCAGGCCCGTCCTGGATCAAAATGGCCTACTTCAGGCCTCTGTGGATTCTTCCGCTTCGGCGTAACGTTATTTATCCTAATTACCTAGCAAGTTCGTTTTGCAGTTAATGCCCGCTCATCGAAAAGTCAATATAACATAGCCATTGTCCCCCCCCCTCTTAATTTAAAGCCAAGGGTAGTAGTGCGATGAATGTCACAGACACATGTACGTAAAAACCAATCGTATGGCCATAATGTATGGAATCGCGAAAAATGGGACGATGTCAATACAAAGTACGTGGAAAGCTCTATCTCCAGTTGCTCTTAGTGTATCCTATTCATTGGTAACAGCGTAATAGTATCACATATGACCTACCGGTAACAGTGCATTGAAAATGTGTCTTTATGTGATCGTCGATGATGCCTCTCCATCACACTTCTTGTTGTGTATATAGTGCAGATCAAGGATAATGGTGTATCTCCATTATGGATCATGGGCCCATAACGGATGGGCTGGAATTTTGCCCTCCCCAACAATAGTCAATAACCATTTGCAGACTCCTGGTCACAGAAGACGGGTTTAGTATGTATGCTATAGTAGTGGGTGACCTACGACAGGGACTCGACGTGCTTGAGCAGGCAGTCGGTCGAGGTCATCGACATGATGGCCGAGGATTGGGTGGCCACTGATGCTACTCGGCGTACTTCCGTTCACAATAGGCAGGCCCCCGCCAGTACTGCCTCCACCACCTCTAGTCAACTCCAGACCGCCGCCAGTTCCCGTACTGCTACCAGCGCCGGCAGACACGGACACTTTGCCACCCACACCGGAGGCGTTGCTCTTCGGACCACCCTAGATCTGGACGACACCGGCGAGTTCGGTGACGTGTGAGTGTTGTGGATGCAGTGCGGTGGCAGGAGCAAGCCAGCAGGCTGGCGTCACCGAGGATAGAAGGTAGCAGGTGAGGTTGAGCGGCGCTCGAAGATCGCAAGGAGAGCGGACGTGCGCGACAGGCGAGGGAGGACAGTAGACAAGGAGGCAAGCCGACATCAGTAGGGTAGCAAAGGGCTCTCTCAGTAGGAGTAGGTAGGCAACGGTGACCTTCGTAGGGAGGATCCCGAGCGTGTGGCTGGGCGCTCGACCCTCCGTTGAGACTGTTCCCGATTGGTGAGCGAGTAAGACTAATAGAGAAGGGTAGCGCCGAAGCACGGGTTGTTAAGGGCGAAACAAGATGATGCAGGGTAGCTCGAGGGCAGTAGGACCGGTAGGGTGGCGGGAGCCATGGAAAGAGACCTTGAGGTCGTAGCGGTCGGTCGAGGAGGCAGAGCTCGAATACGGCTTGTCGTCCGGAGCTCCCGACCAGTGTATCTTGTGTGAAATACGGGTTCACTTTGCGGGACACAGTCCACAGACCCTTCACGGCGGTGCTGATCGCCCATAATGTGTCCTCCTCGCTGTCCCTATCCGTTTGAGTGGCTGATCCAGCGGCCAGTAGCTGTCTGGTAAAATCTCCGTACTGCCTCCGAGCACTATCTGGGAGCTTCACGCCGCCTAGGTGTTGATGCTGCCACGATTTTGTCTAAGGGTGTTAGCTGCCCCGGACGAGAAAGAAGGTCAGTCCTCACGGGGGACATAACGACATGGAGGTCATACAGGGGCCTTCCGTGAAGAACCTAGCTGCGGTTGCTGCGGGCTTGGCGTTAGCGGACGAGCCCTCGTGAGAGAGCAGCACGGACCTAGCTGTGGTCTATGGGTGCTGAAGGGCAGATAGGGGAACGAACCCTAGCTGTGGTTGCCGTGGAGCCGTGGCGGACGAGCAACCCCGGGCAAAGATTGCCAGGGGACAAACAGAAAGAGGAACTAAGAGAGGTGATTGTATTTTGAATTACAGAGATCCGATCATGACGTTGGGTACGGAACGGAACGAACGCGTCCAACGACGTACGGCTTCGCAGGAGAGAGCTATGAGCGCTGTGCGGGAAACGTCCATGGAGAAGCGGCAACCAGGAGCACCGACGTCCGTGGACCAGTGTTGGTTTTTTACGGGGCTTTTTACTTTAATTAAGTGAAAGCCTCTGTAAAAATGTAAAAAGTAGATTTTCAAACGTGAAAACGGAAAAATATCTCAGATGACCACGGCCATCCCAGCGCCTGCCCCTGCGGCGCCAGCCAAGAAACCCGAGGCCAAGCCGGCCGCCCCCGCCGCCCTGAAGCAGGTCTCAGAAGCAGGCCTCTCCGAAGCAGGCGGCTCCGAAGCAAACCGCACCCAAGCAGGCGGCCCCAGCACCGGCTAAAACGCCTGAGGCGAACCCCGCTGCCACCAAGTCGCTGCACCGCAGTCTGGTGGCCGCCCACCCACCAGCGGCCAGTCGACGGCCCCGTCCAGCGGCAATTCGCTCCCCGCGCAGGAACGCCGCTCGCAGCAACCGGCTAAGCCCACCCCGACCACCGCCGCCCCGCGCACGCAGAGCGAAGGCCGCATGAATGAGAACAGCGGTCGTGGATCGCTGGACGGCGTCCCATCCGACGTCGCCGGCCTGGAGATCTCTGGGTGCCCGACAACTTCAGCAACGAGTTCATGGACTGCAAGGCGCCGATCGAATTCCTTAAGCCGCGTCGCCACCATTGTCGTGTGTGCGGTCAGCTCTTCTGTCGTCCTTGATTGGAATGTGCGTGTTGTGTTGACAGGGTGGAGTCGCGTACGACTTTCTCCATGTGGCTCTGTGAGCAGCACAACGTTGTGAACCGCAAGCTTAACAAGCCCGTATTTGAATGCACAATGGAGAAGCTGGAGAAGCGATGGAGGAAGGGCTTGTGTGAACCACAAGATCCAGGTGCCGGCCTTGTTACAAGTGCATTGAGTGCTGTATCGTCACCATTATCCACTCCACCACCTCAAAGATTATCCGGCTTCCAGCCGAAATTTCGACTAGCACTTGAGACATCGAAATAGTTCACTCTGATAGCAACGGAAGTAGTGACGAAAGTGGAAATGATGATGAAGATGAATTGCAAATGCGCGTATTACGTGGTGAACGATATTTACAATTATTCGGTTTTGACTCTTCGATCCAGTGTGCTGAAGGAAAGCCTACATTGATCCCGGCTAGATGTTTAGCGGCTTCGCTTCCATCACGCAACATCATCAAGTTACTGCAGATTGCCAACCAGCGACGCCAGACTGGTCTTTCGTGCTCGGATCCCAGTCAGGATTTTTTCTTGTGGAAACAAGGGATCATTTTCAGAAGGGTAAGGCTGCTTGTTTGCCACTGGAATTGAAGCTCCACACGACCCCAGCCGTTCCGTTGTAAGATGTAAGCCAGTATCAGCGCTGGTGTTGGTGTCATTTGCGCTCTCCTGGGAAACCGCACCGGGGTTGGTAACGCCATCTCCGGCACTTGTATCGGAGTCAAAACCGGCTTCGCTGCCATTTTGATTGCTGGTAACACTGGTGCTATTGCATGGAGGGTTCAAGATAATGTTCCACATATCAACAGTGTCTTCGTCACCATACTCTCCGATTCCTTCCCAGTCAAACTGCTCCAGATACTGCTCCATTTGCTGCTCGCTGATAGCAATAGTATCGAATTCAGATGACAAAGTATCAACGGCCTCACTCTCCAGGAATGATGTGCCGAAGTAGCTGCGAGGATCTAACGGAGCAGACCCAATGACCGCAGGATCTTGGGGCATTGGCGAAACTTCTTGCTCTCCCAGGCAACGCGCTACAACTGCTCCAACGTCTTGCTGCTCGGTAAAAAGGACTCTCGCGAGTGGTGCTGACTGAAGTTGCTCTTGAATGTGTCGGTCAGAAGTAGCGAATGTACCTCGAGGCTCATGACTTGGAGTTTCCGCTGGTGTACGTGTCGGATTTGCTGAAGTCATACGAGCAGGAGTCGTACGAGCTGCAGTCGTACGAGCTGCAGTCGTTCGAGCAGGAGTTGTACGAGCTGCGGTCGTTCGAGCAGGAGTCGTACGAGCTGGAGTGGAGCGGGCTGAATTCTGCGGCGTAGCGATGCACGGTCGTTCGCGTGGGTCTATCGTACGTAATAGCTTCTTGACGTTTGTCGGTGTTACTTTCTCTAGGCGATTTTTTTCGCGGACAAACTGACGCATGATCTGGTGTTTTGCAGTTTTCTGAATGCTCATGCGGTTCCGTTTCGGAGTGAGGTATGAGAGCAAGTTCACTGAAGAGACGTTCGCAAGTTGCCGTGTTCACGGCTATTGACAAAATCGTAAGTGCAAGCACTGGCAACTTGCTGTCTTTTTTTGCTTTCCTTTCATACTTCCAGAACGTGACCACTGAGTCCTCTTTGAAGTCGACATCGCGAGATGTGGAGTAACTTCCTTCAAGCCAGCTGAACATTTCACCGCGCAGCCCGCTGTCA